TTTTGCTCTCACACTCTTGTGGGATATATTGATTCTCCTTGTGTTTGGAAAATAGAAGTATCATCGCAAACCTAGTGGTCTTCTGATTTCCGTCTTTCTTGCGTCAGGACTATTAAATTCTCGACCAGTACATAACAATAATTTGGCGACGAGATCATAATAATTCGGCGACGGGAAAAACTATGGATCCTTCTAAATTGGAATTACTATTTGAACGACGAATGAAATTAATGGAAATGTTTGTCAACCAACAGACTGGTCCAACTTCACCTTCAAGCAATCTGAATCATACCATGCTACCATCTGTCGACGGCATTGTGAATAGTATTTCACAGTTCAATTATAATCCAGATGCGAATGTCACTTTTGACACATGGTATCAACGATTTGAGGATTTATTCACAGTTGATCTCGCCTCACAAGACGATGCTTGGAAGGTGCGAGTGTTATTACGTAAATTGGGTCCCGCAGAATATGAGAGGTACTGCAACCTAATTTTACCCCAAAAACCACGTGACAAGTGTTTCGATGATACAATAAAGCTGCTGCGTGAACATTTTGGAGACCACTCCTCATTACTCAGCATACGTTATCGTTGCCTCAAGCTGGCAATGAATGAAAATGATGATTTTCTTACTCACGTTGGCACAGTCAACCGAGAATGTGAGAGATTTCGACTCAGGTCCTTAACAGATGATCAATTCAAAGCCTTGATTCTCATATGCAGTCTTCAATCTCCTCGTTTCACAGATATCCGAACTCGACTGCTCAATCAGCTAGAACAAAATCCCAAGTTAACATTACATGACATAGCTGATGAATATCAACGGCTGATTAATCTGCAGAAAGACACACACCTGATCGAATCAACACCTTCGAGAAGCTCTGATATTCATGCATTAAGAAAGAGCAAAAATCTCTCATCATCCAGTCCTGACCCACCTTCTACTAATGTTCCGCGTAAATCTACACATACTCGTCCAACTTCACAAAATACTGCAAAGAAGACCTCACCATCACCATGCTGGCACTGTGGCGCGTGGCACTTTGTAAAGTCTTGCCCATACAAAAATCATCGTTGCAGCAAGTGCAAAATCATCGGTCATAAAAATGGTTTTTGTCAGCCACGCAAACCCAGATATCATAATCCAGCGAAAGCTCGGCAAACGTTTGGTCCTAAATCTCCAAGGAGATCATTGAATCTACTCGCAACCTGTCAAGTCATAACTCCATGTATGCGGAAATATCTTGACCTTCAGATGAATGGTCATGATGCACGTCTGCAGCTAGATACCACCTCTGATATTACTGTTATATCAGAGAAACTTTGGAATACTATTGGCAGACCACCAATCGCAAATACTTTTCAGACTGCTGTCAGCGCCTGTGGTGGGTGCCTCAAACTAATTGGTGAACTCGAATGTTCTGTTTCCTTCCGCAATACCAAATTCACAGGAATTTGTTACGTCACCAAGAGTGATTTAAATCTTTTGGGACTTGATTGGTTCGATCGTTTGCATCTGGCTGATGTCCCACTTAGTTCTGTATGCAACGCAGTTAACCTCATCGACAATGCTGTTCGATCTCTTCCAGTAACGTTTGCAGAAATCCAGCGAACTACAAGCACCGATGCCACCTTACGACGTGCTACACAGTATGTATCCAGTGATTGGCCAAAGATTAAATATAGTGGAAACCTAAAACACCTGTTTTCCCGTCGTGATTCCTTATGTGCTGTAAAAGATTGCTTGATGTTTGGAGAACGCGTAGTGATACCTGAAGCATTACGAAATAAACTCCTGAAACAGTTTCACATGGGACATCCTGGTATTCAGCGGATGAAGAGTATTGCTCGCAGCTACGCATACTGGCCTAATATGGATAAGCATATTATCGACTTTGTTCAACGATGTTCAAAATGTCAACAATCAGCAAAGCTACCCCACCAGCTACCTCCCGTACCGTGGCATCCAGCATCCCATCCTTGGTCCAGAATTCATATTGATTTTGCTGGCCCTACAAATGGTGCATATTATTTAGTGGTGGTAGATGCTTTTTCTAAGTGGCCAGAAGTTATACCAATGGTTTCGCCGACAACGTCCCAGACTCTCAAAGCTCTCACTGACATATTCTCCCATCATGGTCTCCCAGAAACCATAGTTACAGACAATGGTTCGCAGTTTACCTCTCATCAGTTTCAGCAGTTCTGTCGTCAAAATGCTATCGAGCATATGTTCACACCGCCGTATCATCCTCAGTCAAACGGCCAAGCGGAACGTTTTGTCGACACTTTGAAGAGAGCCTTACTCAAAGCAGAGGGAGAGGGGACACCATTTAACATCATCCAAAAATTCTTGATGGTGTACCATACAACGGCGAATGAGTCAACACAGAACAAGAAATCGCCGGCAGAAATTCTTTACGGACGCAAACTTAGAACGATTTACAACTCAATGTTACCACCGACACCCAAACGTGCCGACGCATCATTTCGGAATGAAAAAAATTTGATGTTGGTGACCCTATCTATGTCCGCGACTATCGAGCAGGACATAAACCTTGGAATAAAGGTTCCATCACAGCCCAACGTGGTCAAGTTATGTACGACGTGAAAGTTGGTAATGATTTATGAACCCGTCACTACAATCAGTTGCGTCCAAGAAACCCAAATATCCCTACCAGTACACAGTCATCCCTACCTCTGGATATTCTCTTGGATACTTTTAACTTACCTACGACTGACAAAACAGAAAAGCAAAAGTGCGCAGCCCAGACAACTCCAGACAAAGCAGAAGCCGCAAACTCAACAAGCAGACGAAGCAACAGACGTCGACAACAAACTGAACGGTTTCAGAAAAACCCCAAGAAAGCACGCTATTAATCATCAATCTTCTCAAAAGGGGAGGTGATATGTATATCCATATAATATGTGTGTTTGTTTGACAGTCTGATATATTTTGCTATGTATATATGGATCGATATTCCATTATAATTAGCCAATCATGTTAAGACTGTCTATTGATTTGTTCATTTTGAATATTCACTCTCACACTTGTGTTCACACACTTGTTCGGACATTCATATATATTTTTGCTCTCACACTCTTGTGGGATATATTGATTCTCCTTGTGTTTGGAAAATAGAAGTATCATCGCAAACCTAGTGGTCTTCTGATTTCCGTCTTTCTTGCGTCAGGACTATTAAATTCTCGACCAGTACATAACAATAATTTGGCGACGAGTACATAATAAATATGACATCGTCAATGATCGTATCTAAAACTGTCAGAAAGGCCAACTTCCCTTTATGGATATTACATAAGGTGAATGGTGGTCACTTTCACGTCGCTAGACAAGTTATGAAATCTGGAGTTTAGAATACAGGACTATCTATTTTATATAAGTTGTATTGGACAAGACAGATGAAATCTTCTAAAGTGACGAACACTGATGAATAGACTACATTTTTGCATACATTTTAGTAACATAAATTTATCAATACTAACAGCAAACATCGAATCAGTCTACCGATCCAGTGTACGAAATCAGTTTAATCAATGAGTCGATACTTTGAAAGACTATCATTACTACTTTGTGAATTAGTAGTAGTTTGAAATAATATTTCAAGTAGTTGCTAAGTTGTCAGGCAATCATCGTTTAGTAGAAGATTTTGTTTGTACTGAGGAGATGTGATTAAGAGAAAATAGTCACGTGTTTTTTATTTAGTTGACAGGTAAAAAAAATTACACATAACAGTTGACATAAAAATCGGAACTAAACTTTTTTTTGTATGGTAATAGCTCATTATAAAATTAATAATGAACTGGAAATACGAGGAGTGGTGGTCAAAGTTTAGTTGTACTTTATTCAATCTCTGTGTGTATAAATAATAACATGTTCTAGTACTAATTAACAATGATAAAGAGAGTGTAGCAGCTGAACACACTGGTTGCATTTATTGTTAAAAAATGAGTTTGAATAATGAATATTTGAATTGTTGGTTTTCACTATAAATATACATCATGACTAAATATTTAATTATGCTATTTACAGGTATAAGATACTTCTTTTTTGCAAAATAAAAGGTTTGTGCATGAAATGCCAACAATTTAATGTGAGCATGAAGTAGAAACAAAATATTTCTGGTTTCGATAAGGGAATTTTGTAGGAAATATTTATTCATATTCATAAACTTTGGATTACACTATCACCATGTTAAATAAAGTATTTCATAATAAGGTGGTGGACGAATTTTTGTGAGTATTTCTACTAAGGCTACTTACTAATCAGTATGGGGAATAAGTGTAACTGTCGCCAAAAGATACACATCTTTGCTACTGTTTTTCGCCCTCTGTTACTTTAGAACTACGGGATACTAATCAAAATGCAAGCATAAATAAGACAAAAAGCATTGCTGAGTTGAAGGCGATCAAAATAAAGTCATTAAACAAACGTTTAAATAATCATCATTAGGTAAAAAAGATGTTTCAGCAGCATTTAGTAAACTTCTACTACTTCAGAGACTGATCTCTCATACTATTTATCCATACTTTCACCGAATGAGATTGAAAAAAAGCGCTAAACGCCTTAAAGTCAGTCGTAAGCTTCTTTCAGTTTGTTCAAAGCTATTCATTTTGATGGAATTCGATGTGAACTAAATTCATTCAGAGAAAGAAAAACCTTGGTAGAGATTGTCATTCACATAGGTGACAGAATATTGATAGATTGTTGGGATTGTGTTAATTTGGTGATTCATCTTTTCATGTGTGGAATTGGTGGAGGAGGTGAAAAGTACAGTACAATTTAAGAAGTTATACTTTAGGTATTTGTAGAATGGACTGTGTGACTTCCCATATTGTTTAGATGGTTAGCTGACCAAATCTTGGGTAAAGTTTTAGTATCAATACGAGTTTACAAGCTTATAAAATATTTCTTGAATGGAAACAGTTAATAACGCATTCTGTAATCGTGCAATATGCTATAATATTACAATTGACTTACTTCATTCTCATAAGTGTCAAATGTATGACATCCTCCTTATTCAGCTTTTTCTAAAAAAAATAAAAATAAAATTGGATAAGTTGGAGGAGTTGTTGAATAGATAAGAAGTGTTACTCACAATAACTGTTATTCCTGTTGCACTTTGTTTTTCACAGTTAAGTGATTAACTGCATCAGCTTACGCATATGCTAACCTTTTAAAAAACAACAGCAACAACAGCATCAGAATACTTCTTTTTTTCTAACACAAATCTAAGACAGTCTCATTGGTAATACTGAGTAATTAGTAGCAATTAAAATAATAGAATTTCAAAATAAAGCACATATTTATAAATAAATTAGAAAACAGATTAAGTCAAGAGATAGCACGGCTGAAATTTCGGTGTCTCAAATCACTGACAGAATCATTATGAATCCCACTTTGGCCTTAGTTAAATAATATGAGAGATGAATTTTGGATTCAGATGAAGAATATCGTGAAATTAATTGGTTTCTGGATTTCATCATGAGCTGGCATTAGTTAGAAAACCATTGGAAAACCTGGGAGTACTGGACAGCTGTTTCGTCCTAGTTTGGGACTCTTCAGCAGTACGCACCCACCGGGATTCGAACCCAGGACCTTCTGGTTACAAGGCGAGCTCGTATACCATTGAGCCACTGGGACCCGATCCAATGGCACATGAATTCTAACTTCTGCCAATTCACGACATAGCGAAACCGCTGGCCAATGTCTTCGGTAAGTATTTGTCCTCACACCCGACCGGCTGCACCCTACTGGTCATGACTTCCCACTGGAACCCAGGTAACTACCTACCTGAATAGGGCCAGTCGCCAGTGAGCATCTCATTGGTATTCAAGTGATGGTTTGTAGGGATATGATTGGTTTCAGGATTTCATCATGAGCTGACATTAGTTAGAGAACCATTGGAAAACGTTGATGAAGGAAGAGCCTTAAGAAATTGGATAAAACAGCTTTTCAACACTCTGTGGTTTTCAGTGATCTCTCTAACTGATGTTTGCTCATGACAAAATCCACATTGAAATTTTCAGAATGTATTCAGAAAATCTAAGATAGATCCTTCTTTCTTCTTATTCTTATGCATGTGCTTCTACTGCCTTTGAAAGTAACCGAATATCTGTCGAAGGAGATATGGAAATCATGAGATAAGGAAAGAAAAGTTTGTGTGTAGTCGTGGAGCCAGCTGAAAGTGATGGCATAAAACAGAGTGCAATGGAGATATGCAATTAATATCCTTCGTCCCACTCGGAATGTGAAGAATGAATACTAATAACTGTATATAATGTTGAATACGAATAATCAGTAGAACTCGTTACAAATATCACAGTCAAACGGTGACATACTTTGACCGAAATACTGCACACATTTTTCTATTAGTGATCGTAACAGACAAATCGCAGCATGTATCCATTTTCAGTCAGGTGATTGCATAAGGAGTCATCTAAAAGTAGATACTTTGTATTGATGAACGAATTCCTACATGACATATGTTAACCGGTTAATGTATTTGTCTACTTTATTTATAATATATCAGGTGAGATGAAATAACTGAAAAGAATCTGATAAAGAGTCAACTGAAGAATAAGCAGTTTCTATTAGAGAAAAATGTATTATTTTCAGTTCAAGTGAGTAAACACCCAAAAATGTTTTCTTACGTAAAAAACTTGACCGTTTCAGCTAACTGTTCTCTTGCACACAGTGTAATGTTCCTCATCTCTGAAACCTTCCCCTGAAATGTATGAACCTTGATAATTATGAAGACTTTCGCTAAGGGTCGCGCTATGTCGTGAATTGACAGAAGTTAGAATTCATGGGCCATTGGATCGGGTCCCAGTGGCTCAATGGTATACGAGCTTGCCTTGTAACCAGAAGGTCCTAGGTTCGAATCCCGGTGGGTGCGTACTGCTGAAGAGTCCCAAACTAGGACGAAACAGCTGTCCAGTACTCCCAGGTTTTCCAATGGTTTTCTAACTAATGTCAGCTCATGATGAAATCCTGAAACCAATCAAATCCCTACAACCCAACACTTGGATAATTTCTCAATTACTTTGTAGCAAGCATGTGTTGCTTCTCAAAAAAATTACCAAAACGTACATTAGCTGTCATAATCTATTACATTTCAGTGAAATTTGGTTATTTTACATTAAAATGTACAATGAAAGGTTTTCCTCATTGAATTGATATTGAATTTAACTGGAACGGAAACATTTAGTGTTATAAAAAGGTTTCAGTAATGTATGAAATAAAAATCAGAAACAGTGATAAATGCTACATTCGCGCAAGTGAAATTGAGAAGCCTTCGTATGCTCTTCATCTTATTCATAACAAACTAAATGGCACAACGTATTGATACGTAAGATAATACCTGAAAGTTCCAATGAGATAATATGAAGGAAAAAAAGCATATCAATACCTTATTGAGTTTGTAGTCCAGATTTGGTTCTCAGCCGATGCACTCCTAAATGTCGCTGAGTTTACTTATTGATATAAAGCCCAGAAAAATAGGGTAGACTGGTTTTGAGGCTAGCAACTACACCATCATGTAAACACATCACCGGTAATGAAACTTCGAAAAAAGATTTAAGCCCTACGTGTTTATCTCACAACGAAAGGAACAGAAACAAAATATACCCGTGACTTACTTTAGCGTCTTCTAAATCTTTTTGAATTTTTGCAATTTGTTCCTCTAAATCTTGAATTGTTTGATGAAGTCTATCATTGGTACTTTTGCATGAATCTCTGCGTAGGGTTATAAAAGGAATAAAACAGTGAACAGGAACGAATTAAGTGAAGATGTTGTTTTCTTGTTTTAACAAAGTCTCCTCACAGTTAAAAAGCAAGATTCATTATGAGCTGGCGTCAGTTAGAAAACCATTGGAAAACCTGAGAGTACTGGACAACCAAGTATTTCGTCCTAGTTTGGGAGTCTTCATCGGTAAGCACCCACCACCAGGGTTCGAAACCAGGATCTTCTGGTTACAAGGCGAGCTCGCAGACCATTAGGCCACTGGGACCCGATCCAATGACCCATGAATTATAACTTCTGCCGATTCACGACATAGCGCGACCACTAGCCAATGCCTTCGGTGAGTATTTGTACTCAACTTCGACCTGATTTACTCTACTGGTCACGACATCCCACTAGGACCCCAGGTAACTGTCTGAATAAAGTCAGTCGGTAGGAAGCATCTCACTGATATTGAAGTATTGGTCTGTAGTGAATTTATTTGATTGGTTGAGTGTATTCATCATGAGCTGACATCGGTGTGGAAACCATTGGAAAACCTGAATGGGTGGGTGCACGCTGTGAGGACTAGGACGAAACAGCTGTCCAGTACTCCCAGGTTTTCCAGTGGTTCTCTAACCGATGTCACTTCAAGATGAAAACTATTTTTCTTGTTACATGAATCTTTGTTTGGTTTTATTACTCTTAATTGTCTATATTTTAACCATCAATTATTAGAATCTCACGAACATTGCCTTAACTTTCGGAAGTTAAAATTATTTTCACCATTTACGAAACTTAAAATTCATTAAACATCTTGAGTATTTGATTTATTATAAAACGAAACCAGTTTACAGGCCGTGGTATGTGTCGTTGTCAAATCTGTCGTTACATTGATTAATGATCAGAATCGATTTGGCTTTATTTATCATGCTCATATCTCATTCATTCTATTCATCTTTTTGTTAGTTGAATGCTTTATGAGTGCATCATACCGTACTCACTGAGCTGAAAAAGTAAGCTCCAAGCTCAACCACTCACTTCATACTGACATTGTATTAATTTGTGGTAGACGATTTTGAGCTAAGACTACTGATGTGTTGCGAAATCTTACGTAAACTAATGTGTAATTACTCTTCGAATGATTACATCAGGGTATACTTAAATGATTTGTGATTTTTGCCTCTAAGAGTTAGGGAAGACCAATTCGGTTACAGATTGCAAGTATCTCTTGTTATTCACACTAAAATTTCTTTTGTCTTGCTTTTACTATGAAAAAGGTGCACAGCATTTCTTGGTCTTACATTAGAATATCAATCTGGTTGTGGTTTGACAACATAATCAAGATTAATGCTACTACATCTTTACTTCATGCTGTAATGTAGAAAAATATCTTTTTGTTTATTTTATATTTTATTATAGGTTAATTCCACATCGTATTTTCCTACAACTATGGAATTTTTAGCATGTGATATCGGTAGCCAAAATTTAGCAGGCCGACCACTGATATCAGCTGTGCGTCAGCCGGGAATCGATCCTCGGACTATGTGCATGGTCGGTGAGCGTCCTAACCTCTGTACCACCGACGCACAGAGAAAGAAAAATATGAAGTTTGATCGTGGGAGTATATTCACCAGGTATTTTGATTTAATCAGCCATAACGTTTTTGTTATGATAAAATAACAGTGTTTAGGAAAATTCCAAACTTTGTTTCATTTCATATTAACGTGTGACTCTTCTTGACTACCTCACACCTAGGTGAAGTTTCACAAGCAAAATCAAGCACCACAGGTAAATCATTTAGCCAGACATATAGTTTAACAGTTTTGAACGCACAAATATGATGTAACCTTAGAGCATTATAATGCATTACTGTATTATCAGACGCAAACGACATGGACACCTGTTTCAGAAAAAAAAGATCATACCGTTCTAATTATCTAGGTATTTTTAATTGATACGATTTCATAGAGACGCCAATAATGTCGAGGGCAAAATCAAAGTAACCAAATCAAGAAATAACTTACAATTGCTTCAGGAAGTCATACAACTGCCTCTCTGGTCGATTGCTTAAATGTAATATCTCAGCATTCAGAACACTGAGTTCCATTGATAGTTTACAATTTCTTTCCTTTACCATATTCAGCATCACCTGGTGTTCAGTACACATTGTCTTGTATGAATTCGACGAGCTCTCCTGATAGCAGTTCGTATCGATTAAATTGGAATTATTATTATATTAGGAATTGAAAGTAACAACAACATTCGATAAAGTAAAATTACAACTCTATAAATCAATAATATATATATATATATATATATATAAACATATCTCAATTAATTATGCTAAAGAAACCATTACGGTATTATCTTCAACATTATTGAATATGGCTACTTTCTAAACAGCAATTTTCATCACACAGCCGTTTAGTAAAACCATCTACATGTGTAAAGTAACTTAATTTTAGTTCAGGCTAAACAAATAGTCAGTTATGAGTGGTTATTACTATTATTATTCCCTTGGGTTCTGAGTGGAACACAGGACTTCAACAACACATCTCCACTTTGTTCTGTTTTCTGACGTCCTCTTCATCTGAGTCCAAGATTTCCCACAATCTCTCCTCTCCTCCTCACACGATCCCTTCCATGTTACACACGTCAATTCCCACCGGGGTTCCACTCTAGCGATGGCCTGGCGCGCGATGTCACTCGATAGTCTTCTCAACGTGTACCCTATCAATCTCCACTTTCTCCTACATATTTGTTGAGCGATCGGCTCTCGGTTGGTTTGTTCCCATAGTTTCTTGTTGCTTATTCATTCTGGCCGGCTGGCCATTTGATCTTGAGTAGGGAGCGAAGGCAGCTGTTGACAAAAGTCTACAACAGGCTGTTGGAAATGCTTTTCGTGACACTTAGTGCAATTGTCTGATCCGTATAAAAGGGTTGACTTGACATCGGTGTGGAAAATGAGAATCTCGTCCCTTATGCTGAGTCAGTGCAGAAGATTTCCAAACTGGTTTCAAGTTGATGAAGGCGTATCTTGCCTTTCCCATTCTGATTTTATCGCTTTGACATCTTCGTCCGTTCCGACTGCCTGTAGTTGGAACGATGCTTCCTAACGAGATAGGTGAAGGAGGCAACCTCTGTTAAATCTCTCCCGTTGATGGTGATTGGTGTTGGTTGTTGTAACTGTTGGTTGGTTATCTTCATCACCTACCACCATCTTCTCTGTGTTCACATGTAGTCCTGTCTTCTCTGCTTCTTAAACGAGTTTATTGGTTTTCTCCTGTATGTCTTCGACATGTGACATTAGACATATATCATCTGAGAAATCCTAGAGTCTTATTATCGTTGTTCCAGCGTACTCCTGTCTTCTCACTCCCCACAGTCTGACGCATAATTCAGTCCACCACAATTAAGAATATCAGCTCTATCTTACTCCTGTGCTCACTTCGAATGCCTCATTAAGTTTCCCGTTGTGGATCACCTAACACGTGGCACTGTAACATAGTTGTTCAGTTAGGTTATGACTGGTTGCAGAAGTTTAATTCACCTTATAATCAGAAAATTACGGCCATATATGTTTCAACACTCAACATCTTGATCCGATTATCATACATATGTTTGAAGTAGTTTATTTTACTGAACTTTGACTTTTATACTTAATTACTGGATAAAACAATGTCAACATGTTTTCAGCCTAAAAGGATTGTATTAAATATCGGAACTATTGGATTATTGATTTTTGAAACTTAAAATATACAGCATTCTCAAAGAAATATCTCAAATTGCATACTAAATGGAAGTATGGTGAAATTTAATGAATTGTCGATGCACTCTGAGGGGCTTATGGTGTTTATCCCGATTTTGGAAGACAGAGTTTAGTCTATTTCACTCTTATGTGGTGATTTTATTTTCCTGGAATAACTAATTATCTGTAGGATTCATCTCAATAAAAGCAATTACGAAGCCTCTATTGCATTTCTGTAAAGTCAACGTTATCTCTAATATACAGTAAGAGCAAGTCTAATGCGATTCAAACTCTATGTTAAAATAGATTGAATTGAACGTTGGATTGAAATTCCTTTTATCCTTATTACCTTACGTCCAAAGAGTAAAACATCTTTTTAAATTATGTTTGGTAGATTTCCTTATTTCTGTTTATAGAACCGGCAATTAAATGTATTCATTTATTTTGTTTTGATCGTATCTTACAGTAGGCATTGACTGGTGGTCGATTCACCTTCTTATCACGACTCATTGCATAATCAGATAATCAACATGCAGATTAATAGACACAGTTAGTGATGAGTTATGTGTTTCAACTGTTAGATTTTCGCTACGAACAAACATCAGTTAGAGAGATAACTGAAAACCATGGAGGGCTGAACAGCTGTTTCATACCACTACTCCAACAGAGATCGAACGTGTAACCTTCTGGCTACGTGAACAAGCTCATTGATCGTTTAGCCAATCTTGCTTGAATTCATTCACACATGAATTATAACTTCTGACAATTCCTGATTTAACACTACCTTCGACCGATATCTTCAATGAGCACCTGCTTCACCTTGATAATGATAGACCACACTGGCCACGGGTTCTCAGTACAGTGCCTCACGACACCTATCCAGTAGCCATCAATGAGCTGGAGACTGCTATTCGCATTATGGGATTTAGGTTAACTTCAGCTGACAAGGTTAGAATTCACCAGTCACTAGTTTTTATCCCAAGTAGCTGAATGGTTAACGAATTTCGTCTCGTAACTCACAATCTAGATCTATGCGTTAAAAGATGGATAAATAACCGCTTCAGATTAGCATAAAAACTAAAATTTATGGATGTAAGTCTTTGTAGGACGACATAGCAGTAAGCACAACGCAAAGAATTCATCTTTAAACTTAAAGTTACCTGATTTTCATTGTGATTGCATACGCTGAAGCTATAAACCTGTTGAAAATAAAAAAGATATGCAATCGGTATCTTAATAAAAGTGGTGAGGTGTGTTATGAGGTAGACGATTAAATAAGATTAGAGTTCTCTTGTCTACTAGAGTATATCGTCTTTCTGTCTCCATATAAAAAAATAACAAACATTTCACAAATGGTTATCATAGTGTTTTTTCAAAAATGTTCCTTTACTTCCAGGCTAAAAATATAGTCTTAAGTTCAACAGCTTTAAAGCCTTCATAGCCAAAAACAAAAGTCATCCAATCGACTAAATCATGAATAAGAGAATAGTTTTAACTGAATAGAGATACCCATTAAATACTTCAAAGATTGATCAGTGGACAAAGAATATTCTTGCCCATAACTTCCTTATCAGGTCCTACAGTTATGTAACCCAAAATTAAACAAAATATCTTTGTTGAAAAAATAGGCGTTTTCAATTACATTGAATCAATAGTATCGACAAATCGCACTTCAAAAGCATCTGTAAGAGATAATATGAATCAGCATAACACAAGACTGAACATCAGATAAATTAAGGAAAGTAACACAGAATTTATGTATTTATAGGTTCCACAACATGACAGGATATCAATAGTGCTTGAAGGTGTCTCTTTTGCACACACAACTCCAGTTGTCTTAAGCGAATTGCAATAGCCTGATTGCTGTGTCCAGGATGTAGAGGCCATTGTTAATTTATTCAGTATTCGATAGATGATAGGAAAACACTCTTCGAAACTAGATTTGTGTTGTGTTTGAAAGAAGTGGTTTAATATATAACTGTTGATGGTTTTCCCTACATCTTCATTTACCATGCTGGTAGGTTTTTCAGAACATGAAAAATTAAGTTACTAGATTAACGGTCAATATAACTAGCTTCTCTACAGCAACTGAACTGATAGGCACAATTAGAGGCGATCAGTCCAGCTACTTCATCTTTCAGTTTTGGAATCACATTCGCTTGTGTGAAAATGTAGATTGTAGCTTTCTGGCGTTAGATATAGTCCTCTTTTTAACATATTTAGAAGAATTATTTTCTTACTTTTTGCCATGTAATTAGATTTTTCTGGGTAGCTGTTTTCAATTAACGTGTCGTGTATAACCTTAACTTCTTCTTCTTCTTAACCAATAGCTCTGACCCTATAGCTTAGGGTCATTACCAAATTTCTTTTATACCGGAGAGGATTAAAGCTTTGGAAGTAAGTATATTGGTAGGTCCAAGAAAGTTTCTCATGAGAATCACTTTTTATGCTACGGTCTAGTCTTCCGATCAGTATGGAGTCTAAAAAGGCAGATTTACCAGTGAATTTGATAACTGAATGCTTAATCAATATTTCCTCATGTATATAAACGCACTCAGAAAGTTGTGGGAGTAAATTTATATGATTATGAGAATTAAACTGTGCTCAAAATGTCATCAGTAAATATTACTGTATAACAGTGTGAGCCTTTATCAAAACAAGAATTCTTTCACAGTGGAATCATACTCTACCACAGTGCCCATGTTCAATTCTTATAATAGCTGAATGCACTTCATCAATGAATCGAGAAATTATTGCGTTATTTTCCAGATCGTTTTTCACGAAGGATAAGTGAAGCATCCATATACCGAAAATAAAATGAGAATTGTTTGATAAGGTTGTTCAAAGGACCACTTTCTAGTCTACTTAGAAAGAAAACTGCTAACATTGGAATCAGTGGAGGGCCCGTCGCCACATTATCCACCTAAATATAGAGTTCACCATCAAATATAAAATTCACATTGATTGTTTACTCTAGTAATAGTTCTTAGAGGATGTCTACTGGGATCCAAATATTTACTGACTTTTTATTTTTTTCCAATATGTTTTAATTAGAGGTGCATTCGTAAATACAACTGTTACGTCCAAAGATACCATAGTTTTATGTTTGGTGTTAATATCTCTAATTCCGTCCGTGAATTTAAATATATTTTTCATGCTATATTTGACTAGCTGCTCGTGTAAAGGTTTTAAGACAGTTACTAATCGTTTAGCTAAGGAATGGAAGGGTGAAATGTGCATGTCTAGAATTGATATTAACGGCACTCCAGACTTAAGTACTTTGGGTTGACAGTATAATCTTGGTGTGGATATGCCTGTGGGTCTGATTTCTTTATATAAACTAGCGGAAAGCATGTGTTTCTCCTCTGGTTTCTTCAAACGTCTGATTACTTCATTTTTCACTTTACTATTTAAATCTTTGGTTTGCTCCAATCTTTGAAATTTCTGTTTGTCTCTCAATATATATCGTTCATCCTTTTAGTATATTCATTCCTACTAACAAGAAATAGTCCTATTTTTTCATCAAATATTTCATCAACCACTCTTTCGTCATTTATATATATTTTTGTAGTCCTTCTCAGCGTCCCTTCAGTAGGATACTTTAACAGTCATACTTGATATTTTCATATTGATAACATTGTTCTACTGGGTTGAATTTTGGAGTACTCTGTTTTCAGGTTGAAGGATGAAACTAGATCTCTTGTCTGATTATAAACGGTATCGGACTTAATACATGTGTTTATGTGGTTGATTCATCTGTGTCGACCACGAAGTCTTAAGGCAAAAGAAAATACCTCAAGTTGTATTTTGTTTAGTTCAATAATACTACAGTTGTGAACCTTTTGGAGTATGCCGGGAAACTGCTAGCTGCTGGTTAGCAACTAGTGTTCACTCAAAAGTATCCAAAACAGTTCTACAAGAGGTCAGTTGTGAGCACAAATACCTCAGTGGCAACGTCTCCAACTGCAGCACTGGTTGATGTGGGTCAGAATCTCAGAAGGGACATGAGTTCCTTCGAGGGTGCAGATACACCTTGCTGATGAGTGCCAACTAGCAGCAAAACTAGATCCAAGCCTTTCTGCTAATTGCCTTCAACCAACGAATATCCTTTCATTATCTTGATATGCTTCTTATTTGTCAGTGTTTTAGTGGCTAGAGAGACATACTCCATAAATGACGTCCTTACACCCTCTGAGAGCTTATCTACTGCATATTTCCTGTGGAGGTAATCATTTATATCAGGACGGACTATCTTTGTTAGCCTTGAAATTATGATCGATGCGTGCGCCGCCATAACAACCTGGTCGGAAAATTTTCGATTGATTTATTCTGGAGGATCCTCAAAACTATGCAATCAATCAGATACTGATTATCAATTTATCGTTCAAACTTTCGCTGATATGTAAACAATACATATGCTCTGCATTGTGAAGAATAAGTGTTGGTGGTTTTAGCACTTGGCGAAGTGAAATCTGACTTCTGCGTCTACCTCAGTGTAGGGAATATTTCCACGTTATCAGTTGGCTATAGTGCTAGGTATGAAAATGTATTGTAGTCAGGTTAGACAACAATCAATAAAACCAGTAACCCTCGGTTATAACAGTTTCATTCTTTTGTATATGTGTTTGCAAAAGGTCTATCTGATTTATCGCACAACGTTTCAACCTCTTCTCATTCGGATAAACCGCTCTGACGCAGAGAAAGCGAAGGTAGTCTTTATTTCACTGAGATTAGTGTTATGCTCACATTATCTCTTACTGAAATACAATCTGTCGATATTATTGATTCAATGTAATTTAAAACACTTTACAGAATGTTTTTAATTATGGGGGTCATATAACTGTAGAACCGGATGATGAATTTATCGAATATATATATATATATATATATATATATATATATATATATATTCATTGATCAGTCTCTATTAAATAAAAGTCAGTAAAGCCTGTCTTAGTGGTTCATGCTGTTATCTTGTTGAGGACTAAGATCGATGCACTGGATGGAAGTTTTCTTGCAAATAACCAGACTAAAAACCAGTTAAGCTCATACGTATCTCATGGTTTTTCCCTCAGCATTATTTTTGCATTATTAGACATAACCTAACCGAATTTCCTATTAGACGAAAAGTGGACTATTGATATAAGAATAAAACTTGTGCACTGTGGTAGAGTGTAATTCCATTATGGGTAAATTTTGTTTTGATAAAGTCTCACAGTGTTATACAGTAATGTTTACTGATGACGTTTCGAGCACAATTTATTGCTCATAATCATATCAAGGTAATCACACGACTTCCTAAATTCATTTATATAGTTCCATTGTTTTTCTCTTGACTTTCACTTGATTTGATTGGTAGTAGTATTTTCCATATTTCAGGTATGAGTGACGAGTCATTCCTATTGCATGTGTTGGGTGTAGACTCGATGAACAAGGATTCAGTAATCAACCTCTCTCTCCACCTACCTAGATTACTTTTTAGAATTTTAACTCTCTCCCACCCTATTGTGTGGTTGTGTGTTAGCGCATGCATTGCAATTGCTGAGCTTTTTTCTAAATTACTTATCTTCTCGGGGTCAACCATTCTTACCTTAGCTAAATTCTTATGCTCTGACAATCTGACTACCCCTGACCTACTAGTTTGACCTATGTTAAAGGACCCAGTTGACCCAATTAGACAAAGTAATATTATTTACAAAATACCATGCAATGACTGTGAGGTCAACTACATAGGTCAAACTAGTAGGTCAGGGGTAGTCAGATTGTCAGAGCATAAGAATTTAGCTAAGGTAAGAATGGTTGACCCCGAGAAGATAAGTAATTTAGAAAAAAGCTCAGCAATTGCAATGCATGCGCTAACACACAACCACACAATAGGGTGGGAGAGAGTTAAAATTCTAAAAAGTAATCTAGGTAGGTGGAGAGAGAGGTTGATTACTGAATCCTTGTTCATCGAGTCTACACCCAACACATGCAATAGGAATGACTCGTCACTCATACCTGAAATATGGAAAATACTACTACCAATCAAATCAAGTGAAAGTCAAGAGAAAAACAATGGAACTATATAAATGAATTTAGGAAGTCGTGTGATTACCTTGATATGATTATGAGCAATAAATTGTGCTCGAAACGTCATCAGTAAACATTACTGTATAACACTGTGAGACTTTATCAAAACAAAATTTACCCATAATGA